TTTAAGAAAAAGTCGATCCCCCGATAATGTGAAAGCACCAGAATCCACAGCAAGCAAGGTTTTTCGCTATGCCTTGCCCGTACCTTTAAAACGGTGCCTCGCCCTTTGATCCCCCATTTCTGGTTTTGCTCGTATTCCATTTTGTTCCATTCCTTGAATCACCACAAAAAATCGCGACCACAGTTCCGTGTTTTCCCCTCAAAAAAAGCTAATGGCTAGAAATGCCGAGATATATTCGTAGAATATTGAGAATGAATGGCGGTGCCCAAGTCACACACGCAAAACGGCTGTCCAAACATCTCCACCCCCCAGCCATCATCAGTTTTGCGCATAAAATCTGCCCGTCCTGAAAGCCGGCCCAGTTTTTGGAATTTCCAAAGGCTCCCCAGCGTTCCGCTATGCTCCTCGTCACACTTTTTACAGTATTTTCCGCAGTATTGGCCACTTATGATTTGGTGCCGGTAAAAAGGGCGAAGAGACAATACTACGTCTGCGGTATCTACCCTAATCAATTTTATTCATATTATCGTAAGTTTTGAGCGTATCACGATCGATTTTGCTATTTAATAGGGTATCACAATACAGAGAGAGAGAGAGAGAGAGAGAGAGAGAGAGAGAGAGAGAAAGAGGGGAGTAGTAGAGAGAGAGAGCTAGAGAGAGAGCGACAGGGAGAGAGTGAGAGAGCGAGAGAGAGAGGGGAGAGTGAATGAGAGAACGAAAACGAAAACTCACTTTCGCCTAAAGCCGACAATGCGACACGTTCCTTAACAACAAAATTCCCCTAAAATGTCAATCGAATGCATTGCGAAATTGGGCATTTCCCAGCTTTCGAATGGTATAAAAACCATAACCGACCCGACTCTTCTAACTCAAGATAAGAACGTTTTTATCCTAATTCTTTTTCATCGTGCAGCTTGCTCGAATAACGGCGTGCAAACCACGCGGAATCCAATTTACGGCTACTGCACAAATGGCGGGCAGATGATAGGCGTTGGTTGTATCTACAGCTATCAATGCACTCCTTACACGTACGCCACGCTGCAAATGACGCGTCACATTAGCTGGTTCCAGGACTCAAACTGTGCAATGTTTGAATGGATGTTGCTGCACATCTCCCTTCTACACGCAGCAGCCGCCGATTGGGGTTCAGGGTGGGTGTAGATGATTTTGGGATGAGTAGATGGTTCGCGTCAGATCAGATATTGACCATTTAGTTAATGATCCGTTTAGGTTTTTGCTATAACGGACAACGCGCGACTGGAAGGTGTTCAACGAGTTCAGGATGTTCGGTGGGGCAGACTTGTATGAATGGGTTGTGCTGTCGGACGACTGGATTGGAATATCAGTGTAAGGAAGAGCGAGAGAGAGAGAGAGAGAGAGAGAGATAGAGAGAGACATTTTCAGACGCTTGTGGCGGTCAAGCGGCCCTCGCATCCTGCGTCTCCTCCCAATGTGGCCAATTCATCTGCACGTCTTCAAACTATTGCTGTGAATGCCAATATGGACAGACAGCTGGCACCTGCGCGAATGTGAGACAAAATTAAAGGAACCTGCAAGTCTAAAAAACGATGTTGTGCTCGACGGCTAGTGAAATCCTCCTGTTTTCAGGGATGCGGTTCTGGGTACCGATGTTCATCTTCTGGCTACTGTTGCCCGCAATGTCCATCCGGTGCCGCCCCATTTGGATCGTGCTACGCGGGGCAATGCCCGTCTGGATATACCTGTCGTGCTGGAAATATTTGTTGTTGATAAAACTTGTTTTTTTCGCGGTTACGTCTCGCGAAAAATCACGGCCCGTCCAGATGGATGTTTTGGGATAGTTTCGACTCCGAGAAATGCAACGCGCTTTAAAATCTATAGTTCTATCTAATTCTATCAACGCGCGGAATCTAAAGCTAAAGAATCTAGCGTCTGGCCTTGCCGGACCTTTAACGACACCCGACGACGGCAAGCTGTTCATCGGCTGATTTTCAAATTGTAGAAATCGATAGTGTCGGCGCTTTTACCAGTGTATTTACGGGGTATTCAGAGCGGTTTTTACTTGTAAAAAATGCGACATTTAAATTTCGGCATCTTCAAGATGAATTTCGCCATTATGAATTTCGACTTTCTATAAAATCTTGTTCAACTTCCTTCAAAACATTTTTCTGTTTATTTTGATGGCATAGTGTTTATTTTGATGATCGCTTGCCCTCGGCCATTCCCAAAAAAACGTTCAATTCCCGAAGCATGCGGTTTACACGGTTTTGGCCAGCAATTGCACATTGTTCGTGTCTGCCCTCCTCGACAAATCCTTTCCAGCTGATAACGTTTTGATAACACACATTTTTGGGGGCAGTACGCCATCGACCCCTGACGCTACGGAAACATTGAACAAATCCTGCATCTGATCAAAATCTTTTCCGTTTTTCGATTTCGGTGCTTTTGCATTATCGGGGGAGGGGCTTTTCCTGGGGATCCCATTTTTTTGGAATGAATACAAGCAGTCTTTCTAAGTCGTTTTTTATTATTGTCAAGCGTTAAAACTTTCAAATTTCCCCACAGAACACAAAAAATTTCAAAATAGTTTGGAAAAATTTCGACTTTTTAGAAAGGGTTTTTTTTACTCTACTTAAAAATTATCAATTCTAAAAAGTACTTTCGTTGACGGAACTGATTTCAGGACTAATTTAGAAATTCGCCCTCCCCCCCCCAATAACGACAAAGCACCCCGAATTCGCAGCTTTATATCTTCGTTTCGATATTTTTCTTTCTTATTTCGATTTTCTTTAAGGATTATGGGGCGGCCACAATCCAGTCTTGCCCTATTTTTGGGCTTGATTGGTTTGGTGGCTTCAGCGGTTGATGTGAATTCCCGCGTCGATTGCTACCCGGAGCCCGGGGCTTCGGAATCGTCCTGCAGACAGCGAGGCTGTAATTGGGATCCGGCTCCGGCGGTAGGTAGTGCTTTGAGCATTTTTCTGAGAAGAGCTGGCAGCCGCTCTCCCTTTAAAGCGTTGATGGCTGAGAGTTTGCCTTTATGTTTAGGGCTCACCGATCGGTACGCCGTATTGCTATTTCCCGCCAACCACGGGCTACAATGTCGTTAGTAACGATGGGAATGGAAATATTCAACTTGGTGAGTCAAGCGCCTAGAACGAAGCCTAAGCCTAAGCTTAAGCCTTGGCCTAAACCCAAGCCTAACCCTAAGCCCAAGCCTAAGCCTAGCCTCAGACCAAGTCTAAGCCCAAGCCTTACCTAAGCATAAGCGTCAGCCTAAGCCGAAGCGTAAGCCACAGCTCCATTCCAGCCAAAAATGACGGTCCCAAGAACCCGTTCGGCGACGACATCTCGCCGATCTCGCTGAAAATGTCCAAACTTGGTAATGCCATCCAATTATCCATCGGCACTGATGGCCGGTAAACAACTATTTTTCTGCCCAATTCTCATTTCTTTAAGGTATACCCCGCCGTTAAATTTGCCAAAGCAACCCCCGGCCAACCAGGCCGAGCAGCTCAATTTTCAGGTTATTGGTTTGCATTTAAAAAAATTATTTAGGTTACTTCCAATGCCACTTTTGCATTTACCGTAACGCGTCAATCGACTGGAAGAGCGCTTTGGGATACGTCGATTGGTAAGGGATTTGTAGAAATCGGTTTTCGACCCTTTCGTGATGTTTCCGTTTGCTATGCTCAGCTTTATTTTAAACTTCTCCCATGTTTTAGGCGGCCTCCTCTTTGCCGACAAATACATCCAAATTGCCACGCTACTGCCGTCGGATCGCATTTTCGGCTTTGGCGAGCATGTGCACAAGAAGATGAAGGTATGAAAAACATAGCTTGTTGTCTATTTTGCGTATTAAAAACCAAAAAATATACGTTGTTTTAGCACGACATGACTCGATACACAACATGGCCAATGCTGGCGCGTGACATTGGCCCCGACAGTGGATCAGTGCTTTCCACCCAAAATCTCTACGGGACCCAGCCGTTCTATCTCTGTAGGTCACAATTTCGCGTCTCTCTTTTTTCTCACTCTCACTCGCTCTCGCTCTCTCTCGCTGGATCTCTCTCATTCTCTCGCTCTGTCACCCTCTCTCTCGCAGCAGGTCGCTTTCCACAACCTTTGACTATACTTCAGGCGTGGAACCCGACGGCAAAAGCCATGGTGTGCTGATCATCAACAGCAATGCACAGGTTGGGAACGCGTCTAAATGGATCGAGCCGCCCACATTAAATTTTCTTATTTTCCAAAGTCCCGCCTTTCCAGGAAGCCACCCTTGGTCCAGCCCCCCACCTCATCTACCGTACGATTGGCGGCCAATTGGACATTGTCTTCTTCCCGGGACCTAAACCCGAAGATGTCGTTCAAGTCGGTTAAATATTTATTTCTATTTATTATTTTGCATAACTAACCGAACTTGCTGAATTCCAGGGCTTCCTCGCCTACATCGGCCGTCCGTTCCTGCCCGCCTATTGGGCCCTCGGGTATCAGGTACTGGCTCCTGTAGTTGAACAACGCGTCCGTTAAGTTGTGCCGCTGGGGATATGCGGATTTGGACGAGATGAAGGCGGTCATTGCCCGAAATCAGGCGGCCGGCATTCCGCTTGACGTACCGTATGCGGACATTGACTATATGAGCCATTATGAGGATTTTACCGAGGGAGATGTGGGTTATTTTTGGTAAATGTAATGCTTTAGCATTCTTCTTTATTTTAGGTACCATCTGCCAATTTAATTTACTGGAATTTTATTAAGTTCATTTGTCTAGAAGTGGGCCGGATTCCCGGACTACGCGAAGCAACTCCATACGCAGGGCCTGCATCTGATCTTGATCTTTGACCCGGCCATCGAGGTCGACTACGATTCTTTCCAAAGAGCCAGACAACAGGTGGGGGTTTTAAAGGGCTTGACAAGTCATGGGAAAGCCGGTAATCGTTTCTGATATGTTTCAGAATACCTCCTTCATCGAGTGGCCGAGATTTGAGCTTGTTCCACACCAGGTCCAGGACCAATACCCCATGGCCAAGGATACGAAGATTATGCTGGGTAAGTTTTATGAGGATTAGCTATCTCTCTCTCTCTCTCTCTCTCGCTCTATCTCATCTCTCTCCTTCCAGGAAATGTATGGCCCGAACGTAACACGGCCTTCCCCGACTTCCTCGACCCAACCAACATCACCAACAACTGGTGGACCGCCGAATTTGCCCGCTTCCACAATACCGTAAGCTTCAAGCCTGAATCCAAGTCTACGCTATAAGCCTACGCAGAAGCCTACTTTTTTAGCTTGGCTTCGATGGCATCTGGATCGACATGAACGAGCCATCAAACTTTGACACGAACGTCTATTCTTCGAATCGTATTGATGGCGAGGCGCCGACGGGGGATAAGCTCGCTTGTCCCATATCCGGTATGCGCTTGGGTCAAGGAGGGCATGCTGGCCAAGATTCTTTGGGAAATTGGGGATAAGTAACTGTAGTTTCTCTCAAGTAACGGTCGGATTCTCTATCGAACCACTAAAAATTCAGGAGCCGACGGAAAACTGGACAATCCACCCTACCCAACGCAGGCGGTTTACTTACAGTAGGTTTTCTACAGTAACCTGCGTAATATTGTACTCCTTGATAAACCCAAATTGATGACGCTTTTCAGTATGGGCGAGTACTTGTGCTCGAAAACGTTATGTATGAATGGGAAGACGACGAGGGGTACGCAAGACTTCTACAATACGAAGGTAAGGGTTACGATACTATAAAATTACGCTTATCACGGGTTTAATAATGTTATTTTACGAATTTTTTCCATTCCAGAACCTCTATGGGTGGTCCGAGGCTCGTGCCACGTCAGCAGCTCTTTCTGCAGCCACCGGAAAGCGTGGAGCCGTCATTTCACGGTTTGTCCAGGGCTCAGATGACACGACCCGACAGCTACGTGTCGAAGATGATCAGAATTTATCACTAAGCTCTGTCCAAACGTCAATTTCAGCTCAACCTTCATCTCTTCCGGTCGTTATGCTGGTCATTGGCTCGGGGATAACACTGCCAGATGGGAGGATCTGCAGACGTCAGTTATTGGTATGGATTTGCCTTCAATGGCCCTTGAAAATGGTCTTCAATAAAAATAGATACCTTAGCTTAAATTTTAAAATATCTGAACCGAAACTGAACGTAGTTGACGATGCAAGGACTTTTTCAGGGGCGATGGAGTTCAACCTGTTCGGCATCCCCTACGTTGGATCGGATATTTGCGGATTTAATGGTACGGAATAAGCCGTTGTCGTCTATTTTATGTCCTAGGAAAAACGACAGAAGAGCTCTGCCTCCGCTGGCATCAGATGGGAGCTTTCCACTCGTTCTCCAGGAATCACAACACGCAGGTAACGCAAAGAAAAACGCTTAAAAAATTGCATGAATGACACTGTGCGAAATGCGGCATACTGTAGCTGCAAATTACATATGACCGTTTTCCAGGGAGACCCAGCACAAGATCCAGCCGTCTGGCCCTCCGTCGCGTTGGCGGCCAAGATTGCGCTAATGTTCCGCTATCAATACCTACCGTATCTTTACAGGTATTTCTTGGATGTTGTTCTAGAATCGATGCATTAATAGGATCCGTGGCTAGATTCTGTATTTTATGATATAGCCTATGTTTTGTAGCCTCCACTACCGCGCCTCGCTATTCGGAGCGACCGTCATCCGGCCACTCTTCTTCGAATTTCCCACCGATTCCGAGACGTTCACCATCGACCGCCAATTCTTGTGGGGGTCGGCGTTGATGATTGCCCCGGCGCTGGATCCGGTAATTTTACTGAAATCCGGTAATAATCCCGACCCACAAAATCCCGGGAGCCATAATCCCGACAGCCAGAGAAAAAGCTCGATTTGACGAAAAATCCGGATTTCGGCATTTTGGCCTCACTGCTTTCAGTGTGTCGGTATTTTGGCGTATTCCCAATTCCGATATACCGTCTAACAATCGATCCTCGCCATTTCAGGGCGTCACAACCGTCCGCGCCTATTTCCCCTCGGATCGTTGGTATTCACTCCAGAATGAGACATATGGACAGCAGGTACGGGATGCTACCATTTCCACATGACAAAACGCTAGATGCCAGTCGGCTTCAACACCGTCCCAGCCCTCACCACGGCCCTGACACCCGTTTTTGTGAGGGGTAGGTTTTGGGTTTAGGCCTAGGCAGAAATGTAGGCTTCCCCCCTTACAAAACAGCTAGAAAAAGCCGCGCTTTCGCATACGCGATCTCACAAGCAAGACACGCTAAATTTACCAAATAAATTTTTAAAAGTAAAAATACCTACGGAACCTTTCAGGCGGCTACATCCTCCCCCGCCAAGGCCCAGCCACGACCACGACCGCCGCCCGGAAGAACCCGTTCGAGATCCTGATCACTGTCGGTAAGGAGCAACACGTACTCCCCAAGTTTGTCCTTTTTCCAGCCGGAAATGGCGGTTCTACCGGTGAACTCTATTATGATGACGGTGAATCGTTGTCCGACGATATCTTGAGCAATCCCCATTTCTACTTCAACTTTTCGTATGCGGCCACCGACGGTCAGGCGACAGTGAATATTGGGTGTAGCAGTCCGATGGAGGTAAGTTCAGGGGTTGAACGGCTTGAACTTGAGCTTAACGAGACTTCTAGACACTTTCGCATTATTTCGCATTTCCAGAGCCTCTATTTTTCTAGTACAAAAAGAACAAGTGTTTCTAAACGGATTTTTAATATACCTAAAAGTAAAAAAGTTGATAGTACGTTTCTAGTGAAATAAATAGCTTAGGGCCCCCGCTAATGCCAAAGCACCCACGAAATTTTACGTCTAAGAAAAACATTCAGCTAACCCTTCCCACCCTTGACGTCATCGAAATCTTTGGCTACGCGTACACGCCCGACTACACGAGTTTCTACTGGAACGGCAACAAGGTCAGAACCAGGCCATGAAATTTATTTAACCACAATTTTTCTAGCTGAACGTGAACGTGCAGACGTCGTCGTACAACGCGCTGCGCCGAATTTTGACGCTGCGCACGGTGGGGCTGATCGATCTGAATGTCGCCGCGCAACGCACCAACGACGTCCTCACGTGGACGCATAGGAAGAATTAGATACGGAAGAAATTGGACGGGAATTTTGGGGCGAATAAATTAAAAGCTATTACGCTTAATACCCATTGACGCACAGTTATAAGAAGCAAAAAAAAACCAAAAACGGCTTAAAATTAACTAATTTGCATCCGACAATTGATTACGACAGATAATTTTTAACGAAAACCGAATCATTGCCATCGGTCCGATGCGCGCGCACGGTTCCTACCATCAGGTACTTCCGCTTTCTCCCTCCACCATATGCAATTTATGTTAAGGCGGACTCGCCGGGCAACGCGCCTCACTTTGAAGGCGTCTGGAAGGAGATTGAGAAGCAGAAGGCGATCATGATCAACGATCGATCAGCGGCTCGTCGCCCAGCCCGCCCCGGCACCACCTCGTCAGTGGCTAACGAGCAGAGATCCTTCAGGAATTTCTCAAGGAAATCCCGTGTTTAGCCAGCTCGACCCGATGGTGTGGCGCGTGTGTGCTGGTAACGAGATGGCACGCACTGAACCGGGTAGCCCCAAACACGCTGCCACAACCTCGGCAAGTTCAGGGCCCGACGCGTCTCGGAAAGCGGAAGGGGAGGACGAGAAGGAGAGCGCCTCAGAAGCCACTTCCGGACGGTCTCTGCAGAGTGACTATGAGGTTGTTTCAATGGGCGGTTCTTGCGCCTTATCGGGGGAGGGGCAGATGGGCCTATAGGCGTAGGCTTAGTAGACTTATTCGTCCATCTTCAGGAGACCGACTCGCCGCTCCACTCCGAGCGCGCCTCGATGCTGCGTGAGCGTCAACGTGCTCGTCAGCGTCTCCCCTCCCAATACGCATCTACCGCCTCGGCATCAATTTCGGCGAGTGCCGCCACGTCCCCGTCGACCCCGCCAAGCAGCACCGGCTCCGTTTCGCTGACTGAGGAAGTGGTGCGTGCAATATCTGTTGCTCAAGCAACGTCTTTGAAAACTTTCAGAGCAACCCGGTCAGCTACCCGGTCAGCAGCTCGGTCAGCAAGTGCTCATCTTCGGGGAACATCTACGAGCAGGGAGCTGCACCTTCGCAGCAGCAGGAGGACCCGATGGAGTACGGTATCAGATGAGAGAGAGAGAGAGAGAGAGAGAGAGAGAGAGAAAGAGAAACGCGCCGAATTCCGATTACAGGGTGCGGAGAAAGTTTTGGGTGGCAGAATTAGCTATGTTTTCACAAATTGCGTGCTCCAGCCTGGATTTTTTGAATGGGAGACTAAAAAAGGGCAACTTGAGAAACACTAGGCACCAGCAGATCAACAAAATTTTTGAAATTTTCGGGGGAAAATGCACTGAAAGCGTCGCGCTAAAATCACCTTCGGCACGCAGCGCTTTTGCTGCTCTTACCGTATGCCCTGTGCACCATTCTTCACCGAAATTCACGAGAATTGGTCCAGATATTGCCAATCCCATCCTACATCCCCCCATGAAATTACAAAGCTTCTGAATTTAAATTCAGAGAGTTCTGGCGCTTTGAATTCTGAGCAATGCCCCTAGCGGCATGGGAAGCAGCTGCGAAGCTGGGGGGCTTACAGCCCATAAACCGCGAAGCGCCACATTAATAATAGATTAGGCATATGAATATTTTAAATCAAGATGTTTGACGTCGAAATTTGTGGGATAGACATTAAAAGAACTGCAGGTTGAGCTTCACAAAAAGTTGAAAAGCCGGAAACCGCGGCACGCTGCTTATTTTCAACTCAATTGTGCCCAGGGTTTAGCAAAGCTGATCAAAAAAATGTAAGCTTTACATGGGATAATGCTTATTCCCTGCCTATCATAATCCGAAACCCTGGAAAGCCTGGTGATAAGATCCGGAGCATTAGAACTAAAAGTTCATAACAACCAAATGTGTACCATTTCTGGAGCCTCCGTGTTTCCAAGACGATTGTCATGCGCAAAATAATTTTTAAACCATTACCGTTCTCAGAATCGGATAGAGCACGTCCGAATCTATGTTGACACCACAAAATGAGCGCGGTATAGCTTAGAACGACAATTTTTCGCAATAAAAAGGCGCCACCCAAAACTTTTTCCGCACCCTGTATTTTCAGCCGCTACAAGCTGTGCAACTGCGAGCGTCTGGAGACGACCGGTGTCGGCGCCTACGTCAGTCGATCCATCGAAGAATACTCGGGCATCAGGGGTAAATTTCCTGTACTTGTTCAAAATGTCGGCATCGAACTTTCAGCCCCGTTGGAGATGTACATGCGTCAACGGCCCGTCACCTCGCCCACCATTTCGGAGATCATCTCCAGGACCACGGCATCATCTGCCTCCCAGCAGAGCCTTGTTGCCACCCCCTTCACCCCGAAGCAGCAGCGGCAGCAAGTTCAGCCACAGGTGGGATAACTTCTCAAGATCTCAAGTGTATCTGTAGAACACGACCACATCATCTGCTTCGGGCACGAAGAATGCTGTGAATGCGACCGGCCCGGTGATGAAGATCGCCAGTCTGACCAATTTGGCCAAGGGCAAGCCAGCTTTGGAATTCTAAGCGGAAGCCTAAATAACCCCGAGACAACAAGGTATATCCCAAATTTTTAGGTTCCGATGCCACTCGGTCGCCCGTCTCGCCGCAGACGCCCCTAGAAGCACTTCCTGCCGATAAATGCGCTTCCGTTCTGCCGGTAGATGATATTTGGAAAATAGCTAAAATACCGACACGATACGATACTATTTCCGGATGTTCCCGATTCCAGCCCTCCGCCACCACCAGCACTCCGTCGATGACCTGGCTGCAAGTGGAGCTGCGTTGTTGGCTGGGACTGTTGCTGTTCGTGTTCATCGTCTACCTCTACCACATGTGGCTGCCCGAGACCCGTGTCTGCCCCTCCATCAACACCTAGCAGTCCACTTACAATCCACGAATAGTCATTAACTCTCTCGTTTCCATATCCGCCCCCAACCCCCATTTAATCCGTCCAATTATTCGCCCCGTTGTAAGGGTTTTCGTATTCCTTCGTGCTACTGTCGTTTTGATGTCGAGCCTCGGGGGTTGCCCCTCCTAATAAAGCATTCGTGGTATGAAATGAAGCGGAGCCGCGAGTCAGTCATTTTGTTGGTGCTCAATTAATTCGGTGGCCAAGCACATTTGCTGAAAGAGATATCTCCCCGGCGGTTTATGGCTTTCACCGCAATTTATGCGGCTTTCTAGCGCTGCTGATTCAAGAGTGAAATGTTTTGTTCATCGCCTTTATAACCTGCCTACCTGTTCGTATTAAATAGTGTATTTTACGATGTTTTTAGTAGTGTTGACTCGAGAAAGTTAGCAAAAATGTTTTTTTAGTCGAAAAATCTAAATCTTTTACCTTTTTGTTCCTTCTTTTATAAATTTTTTACCAAAGCTAAGAGTCTACTTTCTGGTCGAGGGTGTGCAACACGTTGTAATCGCCTTAATAGCTCACCCATTCAGATAAATGCTTTATTTTGCAAACAAATGACAATGATAATCCTACGTAAGATAAATGAGTGGGGGAGGGCAATATACCAGTGGCGCCGGGTATAGCAGATATCGCAAAGAAAAGAATGGGGAACCAATTGTGATCACCGAGTGAAGGGCGGATACCAGAGGATTAGAAAGCAACACAAACATAATGACAATCAAACGATCAGAGTTTGGCCAAAAGGACGAGGAGAGAGTTCGCAGCCTTCGGGCGGATCGGTGGGTCACGAAACTCGCCGCGGTAGTCGCTGTACTTAACCCGCGAGATCTGAAAGTAATTTGATATTGATAAGTAGTAAATATAAAAGATGAATAACAACAGCTCAAATTATCCGAAATTCTTATTTAATAAATAAAAAGCGTACATAATTTTCTACTTAAAAGGCCAATTTTTCACCCAATCGCGGGCTACATCCTTAATTTTCCCCAGCCCTTCGGCGTCGAGCTGTATTTTACGAGCTTAAAACCCGCCTGAAACCCATGAAACAGCTTTTGATAAGCCCGAAAAACAGACCACTTGGCGAAAATGTTGATGGTAGAGCGGCTGCACGCCCTCCGACGTGCACACGGTGAATGCCGAATCGCAGCGATCGCTCGAGTTGCGCGCAGAGTCGAGACTAAAGCCGGATGCTAAAAAAAACTCCAAGCCGTTGCCTACCTCTCACTGAGAAGCCTCTTTCCGAGTCCACCCTTTTGGTACTCGGGCTTCACCCCGACCAGCACCACGAATACGGGCTTTGAAACGCCGGCCTCCTCCAGGTGATAAGCCACGTCGACCCTGAAAGATACTTTTGAAAATACTTGAAGAATACTTCGTTTTATAAAAGGATATTAACTTTCCCCACCGATTAAAAACATATTTCAAAAATTCGACGGCAATCGATAGACCCTTGTCGGTGAAGGAGTAGCGGCAAAGACGATCCAACTAGAAGCAATATTTATAAAAGCCTAGAAATCTAACCTGTTGATCGAATAGATGATGGCGACTGGCCAGGCAGACGCCGATGACCTGGATTGATCGTTATATGGAAAAATGATTCCTGAAATACCTCGTTTCGTGTCTCATCTCTGGCTACCACCGTCCCTGGACAACTCAGGGAATCCGAAACGAGATCGTCGAGTAATCGAGAGAGCTCCTCCCTAAAAGGCACTCATTAAATGTAGATATCGCTGTACCTACCGGTTAGAAACTTGAAGACTAGCCAGAATCGGTTCATTTGACACAAAGTGGTCTATTAAAAAGTTGACGATTGAGGGGAGATCTGACGACGAGGGCCGGCAGATCGGCGTTGCTGAACAAACAAAAGCCGTTTTTATTCTTTCATTTCTCATTTTGAATGACCAAGCGGGTCCGATAGAATTTCTATCCGGTTCTTTCACATTATCGGGGGAGGGAAAGGAAAATGTATCACATTAGTAAAATTTAAATATATTCCAGGCTCAAAAACTCTCTAAAAACGTGGAAATTTATATTTTCTGTCCTTAGTTTGGTATTATTTTTAAACAAAAGTTTGTAGGAATTTTACATTTAGTCTAGTAAAAAAGCTATCCCGAGAACCCCCCGATAATGCGAAAGCACCTTCTATCCGTGTCTTTTCCTCCTTCGTATCGCCCACTTACCGGAAATTTTCTTGGCCAGCTCGGGGGTGGGTAGGGTTGAGGAGGAGAGCTCGCCGGAGGTAGTTGGGGATGATAGAGCCAATGAAGCCGCCGCCATTCGCTGAAACGACCGCTATGAATCGAACGAGTCGAGGGGTTGGCCCCGCTGGTTCGGGCTAGTAGGCAAAATATAGTTAGTGCCCAGGCCTCCTCGGCTTGCAAAAAATTGGTATTACCAAAACTGGTAAGCAAAACAAAACTGGGCGCAAGGCAATGAAAGGAAAGATCGGTTGGTACGAAACAAGCAAATGCTCAACATCTCCGTCGGCGCAGGTTTTTTAAACCCTGGAGACTGGCCGACGAAAATTGCGCACCGATCGTTTTCGCCATTTCGGGCCAACCCCAGAAATAATGCACCGGAAGTGAGGTAGAAAGGGACAGAGAGGGCGGAAAGCATACACACGCATGGGTGGCGCTACTTGAAAGTGGCCCGAATGTGGGGGAAGCACCGGGGAAGAAATCCACTCGGAACTCAACACCAAGTATGGAATATTTTTATCAAAGAAAGGGGACCGATGTCGGGTCGACTGGATTTAAATGGCTATCTATGCAGCAACTAGAAGCACTAATAGATCCTCTGAAGTCCCGATAGACGATAAAAACCATTGCTGACCCGACAGGAGCCCGATCGATGACCAATTTGACACCCAACAACTAAAGGAAATCCTTGGAGTCGGTTGTTTTCCGATAGCCTTCCAGATAAGTAGCCACCCGAAAGGACGCGTGAATAATGAAAGTGGTGCAGCGACAGTTAGGATGATTTAGTGTTAGGAAAGCCGGGTTCTGGACTGTTAGCGGGGGCGAGTATAACTTTGGTCAAGATGCGCGTAGGATCCGAATCATCAAATACGCGCGTTTTGTAAAGCTTTTGCGTCGTTTTTAACTATAGAAAAATTTAGATTTTTGGTATAAATTCTACGAAACTGGCATTACGATTTCTAACGTTTCTAAAAATTTTTAGTTACTTTGAGTAAACAAATACTCCTAAAAATACTTAGAAATGCAAAGATAAAAACGCTTAAAAATTGTTAGGTAGGTATAGACAGCTAGAAAGCTCCCCCCCCCCCGCGAATAGTCCAAAACCGAGAAGCACAAAACAAGATTCAAAATCCCGAAATCTCTGAATAACATCAGGCTAGTTAGCCTATCCCTACCAACAACAAAAGTTGGGCGCAATTCAGAAGATAGAAGATTATGCACACGTGATCAAATGACCCCCCTCCCCATCACTTCAGGGAAAATTGATTCAATCACGCCGAAAAAGCGCAGACCATAAAGATAGTGCCCCGTTTAGCGTTTGCAGGCCCTCGGCGCCGAATGAGCCGTGTGAGAGCGCATTTCGAATTCATCGCCGGGGCTCAGCTGGGCCCCTGAGAATGCGAGGAGGACCCTCGGCCATCAACTCTACGGCGTTAAATGGGGGAGGATGCGTCCGGGAATTAAAGGAACCGTCAACGCCCGTTTACGACCCTTTTGCGTACCGCTGGATTCGGGCGGAAATGGGCATGATCGGGTGGTTAATAGTATTTTAGGCGTTTTTTAGATAAAAAAAGTAGATGAAAATGCAACATAATTTTCGAAAAACTTTTGGTCAAAAATGTGTCAAATAGTAAAAATTTTAAATCTTTCTAATTAAAGTTTTTTATAGGTTTTTAGTAATCGGAAACGGCTAGAAACATAGCTTACGTTCTAATACTTTGAAGGTTACGCTGGATAAAGGAAGTTAGCCGGCGGTTCGAAGCGCTACACTTATCAATAGGTATGGGACCACAAACAAAAACGATGCACAAAGGCAAAAATAACCACATTAAAAATTAATCGACAGAGAAAGGGGTAGGGATGCCAGAAACCAAATTCAATCCGAAACCCCGCCCTTTTCTGAACCTCTTCAAGTCGCCGTTGTTGTCGCTTCGGGTTGGCGAAAAAGTAGGATATGATGTTCTCGAAGCGCCAGTTCATCATCGTATATCCGAGACCGGGGGACAGCCCCAGACGGGCGCGTGCCGTTTGGGTTGTCGGATGCCTGTGAATTCAGTTGTTCATTTATTGGAGTTGAGCGAGATATAGAACTGTAATGAAATATGAGGGATTGGGCGGCGATATTTTTTTTAAAGTTCAACAGATTGCAGGGCGCGTTTGCGAAATGATGTGGCGAGTCTGTGGCATAATTGATGGTTTGGGTTGTAGTCTAGTCTAATATCTACTCTCATCAGAAAACGTCAAATATAGCAAAAATTTGCTCATCGCACAGGTAAAATATAGGTACAATTTTGCTGCGATTCACTAAAATAATTAAGGAAAGTATGCTAAAAATAAGACAGCTTGCTTTTTATTAAGCCACAAAAGTCAAGCCCTCCTATTAGAATTGCCCGCCTAAAAAAGGCACAGACCGTCCCGGCAAAAGCCAATGAAATCAGAGAGCCCCGTGAGATTCCCAAGAAAGCCAAGACGAAGAAGAAGCCGAAAAAAAATCGGTTTGCTAGCTGGTCGCCCCAGCCGCGCACGAATCAATTTCCTACCCCTGGCAACAGCGTATATGCATACGGAGAGCCGGCGGGGGCTGGCGGGCCGGAAAACGACGAGACGCCGCACAACTCAAAGCAAAGAGACCCAAAGACAAGGGCCCACTGGGCCCCCAGAGGGCACACACGAGCATGGCCAAAGGAAGGGACCCACAAGCACTGCCCCCCCCCCTTTGCGGTAATTACCAGGGCTACTTGAAGAGGGTGCAGAGAAGAGGCGGGGAGGAGGAGGAGGAGGACGACTAGATAGAATCCCGGAATCCCGTCATCGGCTCTGCCCTCCACCCACATCAAAAACCCCTCCTTTTCCGCCCAAATGCTCTGAATGGCTCGTAATCCAGGAGAGAAATGTCCGCGATAGAATTGCACTAAAGGTGTGCCGTGTCCCACCCGCTAATCCGTTGCTTTTTGTTATGGAGCCGATGAATCTATCTGTAGCCCCGGCCAGACGCTTCTCGCAATTATAAAGGAGGGGTTGGCACAGGTAATTAATTCTCGGTCGAAAGGCGTTAATTTTAAGTTATCTGCATTAAGTAGGACTGCCAAAAACCAAGGCTATAGATTTTCTAGACAGTTCTAAATGTCCACTTCTGTACTGCTAACTTCAGCTACCATCTAATCATTCCTTTCACAAAAATGCTACAATCCAGCAAGTCGTTTTTAGGTGTTTTTTCTAGAGTTTTGCAATGTCACATGGGATGTCCGATAGAGCTTGAAATTCAGAACACGTGCCATCTCCCAAGAGCTTTTTTCCGTCCCCGCGTAACAAAATGCAAGCTTTGATTCGCAGTTTCACCGATACCGTCGTCTTTCAGCAGCTTTTAATTTTGACAGTCCGCTCCTGCTCATAGCTTGCTCTAACCAGGGCGCTATGTCAGATCACGAAACTCCAAATATCACCGAAAAACGACTTCTCGTTAGCTCGACGTGGAAATTTGCCTGAAATAGGAGCCACCACTGGCAAAGGGCCAAAAGACGGATTCAGCCGTTTCCCAAGAGGGGGGATTTGAAGCCGAGTGTCGCCTATTTGCGCAACGGGAGGGCCCCCGCCGAGAAGTGGCGCTGGCGCTGGACCAGCAGCATTCGCTACTCCGAAAATACTCGCAGTCAAACAGAGCCGCCAGTGGATGGATGGACATGGGACTCGGGGCACCTGATCCCCACCGAGAACGACGGCCAGGTACTGGACTGTTAGCGGGGGGGGGGGGTGATGGGCAGCGGGGAAACTTATTAAAATCCCCTCGAAATTCTCCAGAATCTAAATACTTCTCTATTGGGGTTGTAAGAAACCTTTATAAGTAAAAATTAAAAACTGCAAAATTCCGAAAAAGTTTTTGCTCAAAAAAACTTCAACCTTTCCTTCGATAAAAGCAATATCTACAAGGGTAGATACGCGATATTACCCGATCATGTAGAGATCACTTATGTAAAACGTATAAAAAAACAGTACAAGTTTAAATACTGGATCGACCAAAAGACCAAACATTCGCTCAGCTAACAAGCCGTTCGAGCCCGACAAACAAATCAGCCAATGAATTTATAGACAGCACCCGTATAACAATTTACCACAACGTAGAATGTGTACACAAAGAAGAGACATGGTTAAGGGATCAGTAGATACATGCAAGAGGAAACCGGGCTGAATCTACCTTCTTCTTCTCACAGTCTACCAGCGGTCAGTGCTCAATTCTCGTCAAACCGGGCACGGATCATCGTAGTCAAAATCGGAGGACGAGCTCGAGCTGAAAAAAAGAGTTATTAAAACGGTTTCTATTGAAAAAGTTAAATGCATTGAAAATGCAGGATTTGAGAGGGTTCGATGGTACCTTTAACTTGAAAAAAGGGGTGCTTGTCCGTTAGGGGGGGGGTATTTTCGTCGCTGGCTTCTCGTTACCCCCGCTATTTTAGTTTACACCAGTCGATAACAGCCGCTTCGCGGCTGCTATCGACTGGCCCTCCCGGGGGGCAAGGCAATACAGGGTGCTTCCCATTCTCTTTAGTATGTTTCCCGCTTTGCGCCAATACCTTCCGTGATCTACCTACGCCCCTCCTCCAAAACCAAAGAGCCTTTCCCTCCTCTTCTTCCCCCTGAAAGAAACCCCTAAACATCCTTAGTTATCTCCCTTCTTTGATACTAAAAAAACATCTAAGAAACGCGTAATGGCTAGAATACCCTTTAAAACAAAGTTATATCCCTTCTTTGATACTAAAAAAACATCTAGGAAACGCGTAATGGCTAGAATACCCTTGAAAAGAAAGTTATCTCCCTCCTTCGATACTAAAAAAACATCTAAGAAACGCGTAATGGCTAGAATATCCTTGAAAAGAAAGTTATCTCCCTCCTTCGATACTAAAAAAACATCTAAGAAACGCGTAATGGCTAGAATATCCTTGAAAAGAAAGTTATCTCCCTCCTTCGATACTAAAAAAGCATCTAAGAAACGCGTAATCCCAGAATATCCTTGCAAAGAAAGTTATCTCCCTTCTTTGATCCTAAAAAAACATCTAAGAAAAGCGTAATGGCTAGAATACCCTT